GTGCATTACTATGTCGCAAACTTGAATTTTTTTACGGGTGCGTTAAGCAGAAGCGATTTGCGGTTTTTTACTGGTGTAGGTTCAGTAGATTTTGGAATTTTTGCATTTTATTAAAAAACATTTTTATTTTTCAAATATTTTTCCTTCCCTTCTTATATTTTACCGTGTTTACGAAGCGGATCTCCCTGGTAATAGTGGGGTGATAAGGTTCTGTCAGCGATACACTAAAGATTTCAGTGAAATCGATAAATGTGTTTGAGTGGGTCGGAAGGCAATAGTTGCTGGATGAAAATTTTAGTAGTTAACATTTTTATGCTTAGTTAACATTTTATCGCCGCATTTTATCGTTTGTGCCGATTTTTCATCTCGAGACCTACAAAAGCTACAGGGCTGAAACTTCGAGAACTTAATCTGCACCCCCAAAATGGGCGCTTTTACCCATGTGGTACTCACGCGCGGGTCTGTCAAAGTTTTTGACGGGCAAGCTGTTAACTTGGGGAACAGAGAAGTGGAAAGCTGAAATTTTAAGGAGATGTAGTAATAAAATGTCCAAGTAGGCATTAATGAGCTCAAGCCCAGCCCACGCTTATGTGTGGCTTTCACGTGCGGATCCATGAAATTTTTTGCGAGTAAGTTACTGGGGAATAAGGAAAGTTAGGAAGTTGGAATTTTAAATGGATGTTTCCTGACAGTCCTAATGGCGTCCAGTCTCAATTCTTTTATTTAGAAGCATCTGCCGGAAAAACAGTGCCATTAGCAACAAAAATCTGCGAGAAGTTATGCAAAAAACGCATCTTCACACCGGCAGTTGATGCGCTGACATTTATTCAAAACTATTACGATTTAAATACTTGTATTTGTTAAGGACCAGTTTTGAAACAAGCGAAATTTCAACATAATTTTTGACAAAATACATAAAATTTGTTTAGGGACGTGGCGCACTTCGTTTTCGTACACCAGACGGTAGCGATCATGATGGAAGTCGGACCCCACCTCACTGGAGACGTGAAGAGGTTGTTTTTTTTTTTTTAAAGTTTGATGCCTCCTTATGCATTTTTGCCGTGCAGCGCTAGAACACTGCAACAGGGAGCAAAAAAGCATATTGCGGCGACCCTGTCTGCATGTATGTGTATGTGTTTGCGGGTGTGTGCGTGTGTGTGTTCGTTTGTCTGATTGTTTGTACTCAGCACTCACACAAGCTTTGAAACTGAAATTTTGCAAGTTACGATCCCAGGAAAGTGATATCAGCTGTCACGCAAGTCTACGCCTCACGTACGGACACGTGAAAGTTTTGGCAGGAAAATTGCAAACTCGGGAACGAGAAAAGCTAGAAAGCTGAAACTTTAGAGGAGCTACTGTGTTTCTTTGCGATCTTGCTACAACACGAAATAGTGCAAAATGGTGCGTTCCAGCCTGGGTTTGCTTTTTGTCGTAGAACCGTCTGAACACTCACTGTGGCGCATCTTCACTTCATCAACATCAGTGGAAAGACCCTTCATGATTGCCAACGAAGTTGAAAAGTCTGTGAACAGTCCTCTGCCGCTGTTCTTTTGTCCGCTTTTCTTCGCTGCTGCTCTAGGAAAGTGGTGGATTATCATTCCACTTTAACATTTTGCATGATCCTCCAGCTTGCTTGTTGCTGATACATTTCACAGTGGTCCAGAAATCTTAACACCTACTTCACGCTGTTCCAGGTAGAATGAGGTATGCGGTGAGTCGGTTTTGATTTTTCGAAGACGCTGTATCGTCTTACGAGAAAGTGAAGAGAAAAGGGTTTAATGGATGGAGACTGACCTGGAGCGGACTAAGAGAAGATGAGCAGAAAAGGTGTATTTAAAAAGAAGAGTGACATTTGTAGCAGTGTTATAAACCGGTATTTAGAAGGGGGACAGCATGTGAATAAGTTTCAAAGGACTAGCTTTTCCAGTTTTGATCCGAACTTGAAGAAACAAGATGAGCAAATTAGGGGACAATATTATTGCTTTTTTGAGAAGAAATAACAACGACGAGCAACTAAATCAGTTACGCTTCACGGATGGCAAAGTTCTTATTGCCAACAACCCTCACGAAGTAAACAAGATTCTGCAGGAGCTCAACGCACGAAAGGAATTGGCTCTGAAAATTAATACACCGAGACGAAGGTGATGCGAAGTCTCAGAATGCCCGCTGCAAGATTACAGATAGACAGTGTAGACTTGGAAGAACATCGCAATTAAGTCCATTTTGGATAAGAAGTAAATATGCGGCACAATTTTTAGCTGGAGATTGCACATCAAAGAGCTTCTGCTTGGCACAAATACTACAGC